CTCATAGCCTTTAAGATCAAACTAACACTCAGTTTATTTTATTTACCTCGGTCAAGGATTTCCAGGCTATAGTTATATCAAACAATCTTATGACATCAACCCTAAATACCGGGAGAGACGAATCTCATCTTATCATCTCAATATCTACTTATGTCTCAGGATGCATCCAACAAGAACCGTTATGTACAAATCAATAAGAACTATAGTTAGGTAAAAGTCCAAGTACACCTATACTGACATGTAAGATATTGCACTCATGCATCAGGTCAAGAGACTACTTTGTACTATATCACTTGAGAATTTCTATTTGACAGTTAAGTATAATTACCAACTAGATGTTCTCGATGAGTTATTCAGTCAACTCATTCACTAATGAGTCACCTGTATACTGTATCTTGATGTCTCACATTAATGATCTAAGAGATGAATCATCATCTTTCAAAATGATAAATAGAGTATACACTAGTCTTAACCAAAGTGACAATGTCCTTTCTCAACACTTCATCGACTAGGAACATTTTAGAATATACGTTAGCGACTAATCAGATCTCTTCTTCATTACGATCACTATTAAAATTCTGATAGTCTAGTATCATTCCAAGGATTATCTATATTTAAAAAATACCAGATAAATACCGACCAAAATAGCATACTATCATTTTAAACAAGGATGTTATATTCATATAGGTCATGTAACAATATACAATTATTGCCTGCAGGGTACCTAAATATAACACACTTGACTCCTCATAAAAGAGAGGGGTGTTGCGTTCAAGTTTATCGTATAAAATTATGAATTGAGGAGTATTAGGTGCTACTAAAATGGTATGGATGATGAGATTATCCATTGATATATGCTCCTTAAACTATGAATGAAAGGGTTATCTTAAATGTCGAAATTTCATTTAAATACGCCTTCTTATTTTCAAAAGAAGCACTTATATACCGTAAGTTTCAAAATGGAGCAAGTATATACCTTCTGTTATAAAAAAAGGTGCACATTACTACCTTCTATTAACCAACTACGAAAATATTCCCCAGAATGCTCTCACGTGATGCTCATGTGACTAATTTAAGTATCATCTACCCTCGATTAGTATATTAATTACAATTCTACCTACCACTTTCTCCTTACTAAATACAATCTATTATCTTAGAGCATCTCCAACAGCTTCCCCATTTTCATTTTTGGAGAATTTAGTTAGGTTTTTGGCCCAACAGATTCCCCATCTCATTTCCTAAAATAGGGATGGAGGAGAAAAAATGGGGAAGCTTCCCCAAATCTGTAGCATTCTCCAAATTTTTGGAGGAAAAAAGGAATTCTTCAAAATAGGGAAGCTGTTGGAGTTGGTATAAAAATTAGTTGGAGAATATGACTTTTGCTTCCCCATTTTGGAGAAAATTTTGGAGAAGCTGTTGGAGATGCTCTTATTCTCCTTTGATTCTCAAGCTACAATCTCTAATTTTGACAAGGAAAAAAAGGTTACATAAAGTCCTCGTCCAAGGTCACCGACCAATTACTTTAATCACTTTGCCCACGACCAGGGCCGACCCTGGGGTAAGCCCACCAAGCCCCGGGGCTGGGGAAACCCAGGACCGGGGGGGCAACCCATCCCTTATGCTCCTTCATCCCTCAAAGTGTAATTATCTTTGATTTTTAAAGTGGACTTTGTAAGAGGACCTTTATGCAAAAATTATTAGGGGTTCTATTTGTAAAAGAACTCTAATGAATACCCAAAACCCTACCCAACTCCTTCGTTTCCGTCAGCATTTCCTCTCCTCCTTCCCGTCTTTGTTTAGCTCACAAAAAAGGAAAAAAAGAAAGAGAGAAAATCGCTCCTCTCCTCCTTCCCGAGCCTCCGACGGTCTGATCTTAGTCTGCTCCCATCGGACCCATCCTTCAGGCTTTACCCCACTGACTCCTCCAACCTAATCAGGTAAAATTTTTAACTAAATAATTTTAGGATTTTTTTTTGGAAAAATATTTAGGGTTTTGATGTTTTGCAACGAAATTAAGATTTCTGATTTTGAATATTGGCTGAATCTTAGTTGTTGAATAATTGAATTAGGGGTTATGATGTTTTGGAATGAAATTAGAGTTTGTTTTAATAATAATGATATTGTTGTTGTGAAGACTCTTTCTCAAAACGGTTTGTCATTTTGTGGAACTAATAAGAAGATTTATGAGAAGAACAACGGACTTTTTTGTCAACTTACAGAGTTCCTTGCAGAATTCGATCCAATTATGCAAAATCATGTTCGGCGTGTGGTAGATAAAGAAGTTCAGATCCATTATCTTAGCCATAAATGTCAAAATGAATTGATAATTTTGTTGGCCAATGAGATCAAAGCAAAAATTCTTGATAAAATTTCAAAAGCAAAGTATTTTTCAGTTATTCTTGATTGTACGCCGGATTTAAGCCATGAGGAACAAATGTCAATTATCATTAGACGTGTGGATATTGAAGATACAAATCAAGTCAAGGTGGAAGAGTTTTTTCTTGGATTTATAAAGGCTTGGGCTTTTCAATCAACTTGAAGATACTTTGAATGAACTTAATCTCAACATTGATGATATAAGAGGTCAATGTTATGACAATGAGTCAAATATGAAAGGTAAACATCAAGGTGTACAAAGAAGACTTCTTGGCATAAATCCTCGAGCTTTTTATACACCATGTGGGTGTCATAACTTAAACTTGTACTATGCGATATGGCAAAATCTTGTGTCAAAGCTAGAATTTTTTTTGCATATGTACAAAAGGTTTACACTTTGTTTGCTGGATCAACACATCGGTAGGATGTTCTTAAAACGTATGTAAAGGGTCTGACACCAAAGCCATTGTCGGTTACTCATTGGGAAAGTCATGTTGGAAGTGTTAAAGCAATCTGATATCAAGCACCGGAGTTGAGAGACGCTTTGATTGAAATTGAAAATAGTTCTAAAGAGGACATTGTGATGGCAGAAGCTAAAGGCTTGTGTAAAAATGCTTTGGAGGATTTTGAGTTCTTGATTAGCTTGTGTAGTTGGTATAAGATTTAGATAAAGTCAATCGAGTTAGCAAAGTTCTTCAATAAGAAGAGATGAATTTGGAGGATGCAGTTACAAGAATAAACGACATTATTGTTTTCTTTCAAAAGTTTTGAGAAGATGGTTTTGAAAACATGATGAAAGAAGCCAATGAACTTGCTAATGATGTTGGTATCGATCCGACATTTCCGATAAAAAGAGTGGTTCGTAGAAAAAAAGCATTTTGATGAGGATGTGGAAGTGAATGTTGAAGGTAGTCAATCACTGGAGGATAATTTTAGAGCTTCTTATTTCCTCCACATTATTGATCATGATCTTACATCACTCAAAAGATCGTTTTGAACAATTCGAGCTCTATGAAGAAATCTTTGGATTTTTGTTTAATGCAAAGTTCATGAGTATTGGTGAAGAAAAATTGATGGAACACTGCACTAAATTACAAAGATACTTGGAACACAACCAACAATGTGATATACATGGGAAAGATTTATTCAATGATCTACGAGCTTTGTAAACAATATTGTCGAAGGAAGTAACTAAATTAATAGACATCCTTGACTTCATAAGATTTTATTGGGATGATGATGGCTTTCAATGTGCATGGGCTGCTTATCGGATTTTGTTAACTATCCCAATTACGGTTTCCTCGGCGGAGAGAAGTTTTTCCAAGTTAAAATTGATAAAAAGTTATCTTCGCACTACCATATCACAAGAATGATTGAATGGATTAACAATGATATCAATTGAAAATGAATATTTGGAGAAACTTGAGTATGATGACTTAATTGAAGAATTCGCTTCAAAAAATCAAGGAGAAGTATTTTTCTTTGAATTAAATTGTAACACAAATGTAATCTCTTCTTATATGAATATTGATTATGCATGAAAATATTATCAGTTTGGGCCCAATATAGAACACTAAATTGTATTATATGTATTTATTTTTATCGTTATTGTTCATACCCAATTTTTAATATAAAGGGCAACCAAAATTAGATTGGCTAGGGCAACCCAAAACTCAGGGCCGGCCCTGCCCGCTACCATCAAGACATTCACAGACCATAGAGATTAGTTGGAGCAATGATGGCATATCCGTAAATAAATTCCTTAAAAATAGCTCTCACAATTCTAGGTAGATAGATTTGACGGTTATGAGGTGTTCCACACCCAAAATTGTAATTAACTATGGGTAAAAATGTTATTTTAGGAAACATAATTTATGGGAGAAACAGAATTTATCATTAATTAGAATTTTTTAATTAACTATTAAAACTGAAGTTTTTCTCCACACTTTCCATTAGAAGAAACTGGTCGCCTCCAAAAAATCTCGTGAAGAGAAAGAGAACGCCATGAAAAGTACCTCTTATTTTTCCTTTTTTTAAAAAATTTAATTATATAGTATGATGTAGTTGTTAATCTTCGGCTTCTTCCTTCTCTCTCTGATTTCTTTTCTTTTTTTTTTTCCTTTTTTTTTTCTTTTGTGCGGTGGAACAGAGACGGGAGAAAGAGAATGGTTGCGTTTATAATAGAAAGAGGTTTTTGAAAGACTAAAATACTCTTTCTTATTTTAGTTAATTTGTTATTTTTGTCAATTTAAAAATAAAAAAAAAACCTATTTTTGGAGTACCGAAGCAAACCTCTACTAAAATATTAGAATCAAGTGTGCAAATCTGCAAAGGAAAAATCGAAAGGAACATAGCGCATGGACTATGAGTCTATGACACTGCATACTATAGAGCGTTGCATATCATTACAAACAATTAGCTTCAGATAAATCAAGTGTAAAATCTTGCTCATATTTCCATGAAGCCTTTCTGGTATGTATCTGATTTCATTTCAAGGGGAAAAGATACATGTAGTTTTTCTTGGTGTAAGAATTTGCTCTCCTTCATAAGATAACTAGGCAGAGCACATTTACTCCCCACAGCAATCTCAGCCGCAAACGAAGCCAACAAAAACCAGACCTGAATACTGTTTTGAACAGGAGCCCACCTGCAAGATACTTTAATATTTGCAACTAAACTGGAGATACAAACTGACTCCACAAAGCCAACTAAAATTATCTTCTAAATAAAAGCAAAGCTAAATAGAATTTACAGTGGCTGAGGGCCAATAAAAAGAGAAAAAGAAAAGGTAAAAAAAACTATTGAAAGACTAAAAAGAAAAAGATTGCTAGCAAATTTCATGAGCACATTCTGTAGAATAAAACCAGAGGCTGATGAAGTTCCGATCTGCTGCCTTCTAAATCTTGATCCCCATCATATCATCTGAGGAGTCCCTGCAATTAATAAAAGATAAGTTTTCGGTCAGCAAATTATTGCAATTGTTACTTCTGTACAATGAACTTGTTCAAGTTTCCTAAAAAACACATAGGACACCTGCCTACTAAATCTCAAGATATAAATTCTAATTTCTTTTTCCTCATAATTGAGTTATAAAAATCATAACAAAACAAGTATTTTCCCTAATATTCGCATACAAGTAAATTTCGTTTGATTTCTAAACCATAATAAATTGCACAAATAAATATAATCCTAAAAAAGGAAAAAAACGAATCGGATCTTTTGTCTATCTATTTGCTAGGAATCTTATAATTTGATCCAACTATGGCTACATCATCTTATTCTCACAAGTTGTAAGTACTCTCTCTTTTTCACCGAGATAAATTATAATTTCAGCTAAATAATAAGCATAAAAAAATGAATATGGTGATCATCCTAACTACAAAAAATGTCATGTTTCTTACACGAAAAAATAGAAGGAAAAAATCACCCATATTTCTAATAATTCATTTAGGCAGATACAAAATTTCTCATTAAAGAACGAAAACGAATAAAAAAGAAATACGAGGGGAAAATGATATAAAAATCGCATATTTCATTAGAATCTATAAAACAAAAAGGGACCCATATTACAAAATAGACAGAAGAACCCAAAAGGAGCAGTCTTTCATCCAAATCCGCCCCCGATAACATCATATTATAATGTAAAAAAATAGCAAAAAATAAACATTTTCTCACCTGATCAACATCATTCTGATCCAAGGCAAGAACGGAGATGGGCCCTACTTTGGGCCGAGCCAACGAGGCCCGGACCCACCCAAAACTCTTCCGAAAGAGCTTCTCCACTGGGGACCTCGATTGAGATTGGGACTCAGATGAGATTGAGGAAGGAGACGATGGAGCGTAGAGATGGATCGCGCAGGGGATCGACGCCATTGATGAAGGGGTTCGATCTGAGAGAGAGATCGAGAGGAGTTAATTTGGATTTGGATTGGTATTGGACGAAAAAAGGAGAGATTTTTGTTGGCTTTTTTTTCGTTTTGGGTAATGGTCTTATATTAGTGGGGGATTAGGGATCTCAACCATCTTTCTCCTTTAGCAATCGCTCTTTTGCATATAAGTCCGTCCGTAATTGGAAATAAAATGCGTAAATCTTATTTTGTTTTGTGCTTACTTTTTGGGTTAGATGGTCTTGAAGTTACAGAAATAGCCCTGGTGATTGATTGAATGGAGATTTCAGTTTCTGTTCCAGGTTTTAAAAGGGCCTGGTTGCAAAAGGACATGAATAACCTCAGATGTATCTGCGTTCATATCCGACACACTTGGTAAACATTTATTTCTAATAGTCTAAGCTACTGTTTGGTAAAGGGTTAAGTGAGGGGTTAAGGAGACCTAATCCCTTCTTAACCCGTCAAGCACAAAAAATCTATAGAAGGGTTAAAATGAGTTAACCCTTCATAATTTGCCAAACATAAAAAATATAGAAGGGTTAAGCTAACCCCTGTAGAGGGATTAAAATAAGTTAACCCCTCAAAATGAGGGGTTTACTAATACTCCTATTTAGAAGGATTAAGACTTAACCCTTCTAATTATAAAAAAAAATAGCCAAAATCATTGTTATTCCCAAACACTACAAATGACCATAAGGGTTAAAATAAAACTTATTTAACGTGTTAGTAATTTAGTCCTTCAGATTATCGAATGGGCTAACTATGCTAATCCTTCTCCTTAATCTCTCTTTCTTAACCCTTTGACAAACGGAGCCTAAGGGTACAAGCATGGATATTTTAGTATCTTTGTTTTAATTTATATATATATATATATATATATATATATAT